TCTTTTGCACGTCTGTCCGTCCTGGGAGAGGGATCCCTCCTCTGTTGCTCTCCCTGAGGTTTCTCCCATGTTCCCCTTTAAACTGTGGGTTTTCTCTGGAAGTTTTTCCTTGTACGATGTGAGGGTCTAAGGACAGAGGGTGTCGTGTTGTCATACTAATATTCTGTACAAACTGTGAAGTCCACTGAGACAAATGTAACATTTGTGATATTGGGCTATATAAATAAACATTGATTGATTGAACTGCTTTCCAACTCATTACCAGCCACTAATTCAGGTTTCTTTTGTACAAAACTAAGTTGAATGTACAACCAAACAAGTTTGCGACCAACATTTCCACTGCTTCAGCTCTTACATTAAACACATCAAATATTTTCAGTGCCTCAACTTCAAATCCCATACAACCGCTCTCATGCAAACAGTTAAACATTGTAAGACACAGAGTACTGCATCAGCTGTGATTCTAGAGCATTCACAAAGGTTCCTTCTGCTTTTGTTTAGGATCATGAAGTGGATTTGTATGTGGGAATCGCCAAATGTCTGTCTGAGATGTCTGATGCAGAGATCGACCGGATCACCAAAGTAACCGAGGTACATTATAAATGTGACAGGGTTAAGGAAAAAGAAAATACATATGCTAACAATTGCTGAGATAAATGTTATAGTGTATTGCTTGTGTCTTAAATACAGTGAGTATTTTAATTATTGTTTTGGTCTGGCTAGAATTGCCCCCTGTAATGCTGGAAATAAGTTGTATAACACATACTCTGTTGTGAATATAATCCTATAAACTCAAACTGGAGTCAGGGGGTGGTTAGCCTAGCTTAACATAATTACTGGAAGCATAGGGAAACTGAAACTGCTAGCCTGGCTCTGTCAAAAGTAAAAAAATAAACCTACAAAATTCGCTGGGTAAACATGTTGTCTTCTCTCTGTTCTGTACAAAGCCTTAACGCCATGAATTGTAGAAGAAAGTGTTGAAGGAAGATCATTCTGATGGCTTCATTTATTTGTTAGCCGAAACTACGATAATCCAAATGAGAAGTGGTGCATGCAGGTGGTTAGCAGCCTGCCACATGAATATGTTGACACTATGTTGGGGAGCAAAAAGAACACTACATTTGTAAAATAAAATGAATACTGTAGTAAATAAAGCTTTGTGCTGTTAAGGCTCAGATGGAGAAGACCTGCTTCGTGCTGGCCTACCTGACCTCCCGGGGCAGAGTCCCCCTGCTGGGGCTCAATGACGTCATCGCGGGGGTGCTCCAGGGCTGGCCCCAGCACAGAGTCGGCTGGCTCCTTCTGCAGACATTCTACCAGTGTCGCCTCGCAACCAACCCTAACACAGGTCAGGAATAAGTCGGCTCTTTATGCGTTCACATCATACAGGAAAGTGGCAAAACATACTATCTATTAAAGATACATGATAATGCTTATTTTATGGTTCACACAGCCAAAGGTTTCTGCAAAAACATCTACATGTATAGATGCTTAAATGTTTGATAAACACATTTAATTTTTCTTAATACACCTGTATTTCTTATTCTGAAACACTCCGTTTTTGCGCACGTCTCTTTAAGGGGTCTTATGAAGCAGTTCTTTCTGATTGGCTTGTAGTTTCAGGTAGTTCTTAAGCCTTGGGTAGAGGTACTAGACGGTGGGAGACTTCTTGTGAGATTTGTAATCTGAATGTCTAATCTGAATGATTGATCTAATGTTTTCTAAGCTAGGAACCCCACAGATTTCTTGTCTTACTTTACAGTTGGTAGGCACACCAGATAGAAATGTATGTTAAAAATGTATTTTTTACAATTACTGAAGGTATATTTTTTATGATATGTCCCCTTTTAAGTTTCAAGTTCTTAAAAAAAGGCTTGTAATGCGACCACTAGGTGACACCAAAGTCAATAATTTCACACTGATTTATTTATTAGCAAACAACACAAAGAATGAATACATTTATTTGTTCTGCATGCAAACCAATACGTGTGTCATCATTTTTACAGTTTCTTGATTTCCATCTCTAAGCGATTCCACAGTTTGAGTTGTTTCTGTTGATCTAGGCGTTTCCAAACGATTGGAATGGCTTCTGGAGCTGATGGGACACATCCGAAATGTTGCCTACGGTGCAACCCCCGTCACATGTGGAGACACGAAACAGGTATGTGTGTCAGCCCTGCTGCAAACTGCAGTATGATTTCTGATAGAGCTGGCAGTGTTTAGATGCTACAGTTGATATTTCAGCATGCAGGTGTAAAGCTCGGGGAAATCTGCCGTTGCTGGGGGGGTTGGAATGCAGCCCAGGTCTTGTCAGGCCTGTCCACTAACTTTTCTCAAATACAGTTTTTACACTTAAGTACGTAATTTAAAGTGAAATAAGCATCAAATGGACGGTTATGGTCTGGGCAATACATCACTATTATATCGATATAGTGATATAAGACTAGATATATTCTAAGATGTGGAGATATCGTGTTATGGTGCCTTTTTCTAGTTTTAAATGCTGCATAACAATAAAGTGATGTCCTTTTCTAATTTGTATCATGTGTCTTTACCTGCCCAGTCATTATATCCACATAACCAATGATTATTTATCAAGTCACATTTTGTAAATATTTATTGAAAGTATCAAAATTCAACCCTACATATAGTCGCAATATTGAGATTCGGGTATTTGTTCAAAAATGTTGTGTTATTTGATATACTTATCATATATAATAATAATCAGATCAGAAATCCTTTATTTGTCCCGCAACGTAACCGCCTTAGGTCTGTTACAAATTCATTTGGATTGCGTTTTGTTAAAGGACAATTCCAGTTTATCTGAACTCAGGCCTTATTTTTGTAGTTAGTGGCGCTGATAATTGTAAACATATTAACATCACTACAATAAAGACCAGTGTTGAAGCTACACTAAATGTCGGGCAGATTGTAAATGTCACTACCACCACGGCAATAGCTAGTACTATAAAAAGACTTAAGGGGCAATAATAAATCTGAGTTATTCTTTCTAAACTCAGATTTCTTGTGTTGTTGTGCAGGCCACAGACTTCCTGTTCCAGGTGTTTGCTGCAGCTGTGGTTTCCTGGGGGGACCACTCCATGCCCCTCCTCTTTGGCATTAGGGCCCAGTGGTTCCCGTGGCAACCCGGCTCCAAGCCCCAAACCCTACAACACGGTCTGTACGGTGAGGAGTCCACTGAATACGCCCTGCCACAGTGCATGCTGGGAATGCCCCACAGCCTGGCTCTGCTTCTGAACAAAGAGCCCTGGAGCAGCCAGACACACAAGGTGAGGGTGTTCTCTACTTTGATTCACAAACAATGACCTCACTGTGGGCTCCTTTTGATGTGTGTGTGTGTGTGTGTGTGTGTGTGTGTGTGTGTGTGTGTGTGTGTGTGTGTGTGTGTGTGTGTGTGTGTGTGTGTGTGTGTGTGTGTGTGTGTGTGTGTGTGTGTGTGTGTGTGTGTGTGTCAGTTCATAGACTGGCTTTTCAGCATCACAGAAGGTCCTGAACAGAGTCTGTCGGCCACAACCATCAGCACAGCCAAAGGTAACAGAAAAAGAAACCCAACATCGTACATACACAGTTTTGAAATGGATATCCATAAAGCTGAGGAGGAGATAGGGTTTCAAAGGTTGTTATTAAATTACACGGTATGAAATTTCACTCTCAACAGAAATGTCTCTGTCCATGTAAAAGGATTTATTTTAGTGCTGTACCATGACAGTACCCTGCTGCTCTCAGGGACCAAACAAAACTAAATAACACTAAATAAAACCATACAGGTCACCATGCAAAAGATGGTCTTTGTAAATGTTTAATGAGGAATGAAATGCATTCACCATGGATGCTGGGCATCCAGGGTAAGATATGTAATGTAAACTGTTAACAGAAAACTCCACAGGGAAACACTGAGGCTGATTGTTAGGACACTGAGACATAACAAACACAACACAGCACATAGAAGCCCATGCAGGTGGATTCACATCATGAATTCACAATAGCAAACAACAATCTGTCACGGATGAAAAATGTGATCTTCCTTGTGTTCCAGCCGCCCTGCTGGCCCTCAAGTCCTCTGCCGAGTTTAAGAAGAAAGCTGTGTGGACCAGAGCGTACGGGTGGTAGCCCAGAGGAGCCATGACAGACTGTTACCGTGGCAACGCTTACAGGTGTTCTTCACAAATAAATGGCTGCAGTATTAATAAGCTCGGATGGCTGGACATGTGAGGCTCTCTGCATCAACATGGAGAAAGTGAAGCTCCACTTCATCTCATACAGCGACATCAGAGGAATGTGCTCCAAAACAATATATTCCAATAAAAAGATTCAAATACACAACATATTTAATGATGTTGAATTTGATTCTATGGCTCTTCAGTTCAAGATCTTCTTTTCATTATAGTTTGAAATGTTTGTGCATCTTAATGCACAACAAACTTGCTAAAAAAGTAACAGCACGCATGGTATTTTAGAAAAAAATAAACTTCCGAGGGAATTCCTGAAGTGAGTCTTAACGTGTCATTTCATTTTCATTTTCTTGTTCCATTTGCCCAGTTGGTGGTGTCTCTCCTTCAGTAGTTGCCAGACTGTCACAGTTGCCCCTAAAAAAAAACATTTTTGTCAAAGTATGGTTGTTTGAAATTATTACCAAAAACAACTGCAACAAGATGGTTTTTACAAAAAGAATAATATGATGGTCATTATATAAAAGGAACCTCTGATTCAAGACTCTGCCGGGATTCCGTTTGCTGTTTATAAATCTACCCAATATGTATCTTTCTTTACTTTTGTATGAGAGATTGCAATTGTGCTTCTTTTATGTATCTGGTTTGGTTCAAAATGCAACACAAGATGGTATAGAGCAGGGGTGTCAAACTCAAGGCCCGTGGGCCAAATCCGGCCCCCGACTTCATTTTATGTGGCCCGCAAAAGCTTGCAAAGAATGTAATACGTTTATTATACTTACTGTTACATGCCACTTTACAGAAGCAGGTTGCCCATGAACTACATGTCCCACAATGCATTTCGTTTTTGTGACATGCACTGAAGAGACTTGCAAATATTTGCAATTATTTGCCCTCGACTTCTGCTTTCAGACGTAGTTAATTATGGAGTGATCACCCTATCCCATAATAATCCAATGCAGAGGCAATAATGTAATATAATAAATTATTTTATATATATTATATATGTATATTTATATAGTCTTAAAGTTACAACCGGCCCTTTGAGGTTAATCATAATACTGATGTGGCCCACGATGAAATGGAGTTTGACCCCCCTGCTGGAGCTGGAGCTCCGTGCAGCAGTTTGACCTTCAGCTGAGTCCAACCTCAAAATCACAGCCAAGTCTTTTTAATAATAAAGTCACGATCATATGATTATGTTTTATTGTTTTGTTATGCATCTCTTTAACAGCTTTGTGGGGGTATTTGTTTACATGAGTCTATGTACTAAATAACCCAGACGTTGTAAACTACAGGACGGTGGTGTTCAATCCTCACAAAATATAAGACTGATAGGAGGTGACAGTGTGCGTTTCATAGTGACAGCGTGGCAGATTCCAGTCTGAATACATGATCATTCCTGGAGCTTTTAGCATTATAGTGAGGGATGTGTGTGCGTTTGGAAGAGTTCCCTGCTCCTCTGGTAGAAGATGGAAGTCTGGCAGCTGTGGGGCTGAACCAGCAGCTCTCACATGAAGCGTTACGCTCTGTAATCCCTGCTCGTTGCCTGCAGGCTGCAGCGCCGGCGGTCCAAGGAGGTGAAGCCTCTTCCTGGAGCGGGTCGACCCAAACCGGCTCCCAAGCCTAAGCCCCGGGCCCCCCATTGCCGGGCCCTGTACGCCTACGACGCCCAGGACACTGACGAGCTGAGCTTCAACGCTGAGGAGGTCATCGAGATACTCACAGAGGGTAATACTACTGCTGTTACTACTATTACTATTACTACTACTACTACTACTACTACTACTACTACTACTACGGCTACTGCTGTTACTACTACAACTACTACTACTACTGCTGTCAGTACTATAGCTAGCACTACTTTGATTAATACTACTGTCAGTACTATATGTAATACTGCTGTGTACTT